CTAGAGAAAATTCTGATTCCCTGATAATTGTTAGAGGTGAGTATTGAGGAAGTTTTCACAAGAATAGTTACTGACACAGATTAAAATTCTAGGATGATATATATATATATAGAGAGAGAGAGAGAGAGAGAGAGAGAGAGCTTTTTAGTTTCACTTAGCCACATTATAGAAAATATTTCATGAAATTTTCATTTAGAAAGTTTGAGGCATGGTCTTAATTTTTAAAATGCACTATATCTACTCTGTGGGAGACTGTTACACAAGGTATCATGGTTCCTCTAGAAAACTGGAACTTTATAATAAGATACAAAAAAACAAATCAAAAAGACTCTTCAGGGCCAGGGATTTAGCTCAGTAGTTTCGCTGCCTGCTGCACAAGTGCAAGGACCCGAGTTCGATCCCTGGTACCAAAAAAAAAAAAGACTCTTGAGCGATGGACAGGGCCTCTAAATCTGGAAGAAAGCAAAATCTCAGTACTGCTGCTTCTGAGCCTCTTTGGAAAATGTGGTCCCTTGGGCTGGTGGCTGGGGATTCTGAAAGAGGCTCAAGCAGTGTTGGTTTGCTGGGGGTTGTGCTTGGCCAGCTGTGCTGAGAGTGATGAATTTATCTCCCTCCCACCTCCTCTGCCCTGTGCCTCCATCCTCCTCCAGGTCACCACCTATTTGCACAAGGACTACAACAACCTGTGGATCATCAAGAAACATAATACAAACTCAGGTAACATGGTCAGGAACTGCCACTTCTTACTTTTTTACTTACTCTGAACCCCAGCATTTCTCATGCTGCCAAAAGAATGATACCGAGGCATTCCTGAGCATCTTTGACAGTATCTGTACTGATCTCAGTTATCCTCTCAACAATTACTGGGCACCTACTGTGTTCCAGGCACAGGCATGGGGATTGAGCAAACAGATAAGATCTCACTCTTAGCACAGTCATTTTGAAGCCAGAGAAAAGGGCTCAGACTTCATCAAGGAAAAGGTAACCTGAGGATGTCACCAGGGGCTGGTGAGTAGCCCCAAGTGAGGGTACCTGACGGCTGCTCTCATTTCTTATGTAGAGCACCCCTAGCCTTGCAGAACCTAGGATGTGGTCCTGATAGGATAAGAGGGCTGTCCATGGCTCATCCCTGGACTGGGTCATTCACTTCAGGATCTAAGGGCCAGCCCTGCCACTGGGCTTGTCTAGATTGGTCCCCGGGACATGCAGCCTGATCTGTCCCTGACTGGTCTGACATCCATCTGTCAGACTTTGCAGGATTTAGGACAAGAGCAAGAGCTGTATCTGGATCTTTCTGACTTTGGTCAGGCAGCTAGCTACCTGCAGGCTGTGCCTTCTGCTATTGCTGAGAAGGGAGGGCACCTTTCTCTCGCTATCTGAGCCCATCATCACTGCCTATGTCCTGTGTCCTCGGCACTCCTTGTGACTCCTCAGCAAATACCACCTGCCTTAGCCTGTCCCCAGCCATCTGTTCTTGGGCCTTTGTGAAGTGGGCAGATGCTCATCTAAATTCTTTCTTTTTCCTGTCACACCTCATTTTTACTGCCTTTTTCAGGCTAGAATCATGACATACACAATCAGTGTTTTGGCATCCTATTTATTTGCATCCTCAGTAATATACATTATGGTGCCATTGAGCAGAGTCTGTTTTATACTCTTGTGATACTAGTCCTGATTGTGTTTTGACCCAACAGCCAAACAAGTCATTCATCATGATGAGTTAGGAGGAAGAACAGTTTTAGTTTTACTTCAGTCAAACAGCTTGAACCAAACTTTCGACATTTCTAGTTTGTTACTCCACTGTTAAGCAATGAAAGATTTTCTGGGAACTTTATAAACTAAGGTTTTTGTCTTCTTAATGGCTGTAATTGCCCCTCCCCAAATCCATATGAAATAAAACTTCCCTCCCCATTGATTTGATCTGTCATCTTAAAGGCAGTATAGCAATGGATATCTGTGTGGCTTGAGTTCTCTGATTCTTCTGAGAGCCAGTGATTTGCTCTGGCAAATTTATCTTGCCTGACCTTTATCTATTTATAGTGTTGGTATTTCACTGTTTGGGAGAGTAGTTTTCAAGGGTACATTCTGCATTGCTCTGATGATTGCCAGCTCCTTTTCCATGTCATTGCCTTTACACATCTTCATTAGTCTTGACTTCTAGATAACACAAAAGTAGTCCTTTTCTTTCATCATTTCATCATTTTCTTCACCTCACATTTAGCAACGGTATTACCAGAGATAAGATTTGATTTTTGAGGAGAGCCGGGAAAATAGTGAGTTGTGTGGAATTAATTTTGGGGAGACTGCTAAAAGGGAATCTTACTATTTTGCTTCCCAGCTTATATTATTATTTATTTTTTTTTTTTGGTACCAGAGATCGAACTCGGGACCTTGCGCTTGAGAGGCAGGTGCCGGAACCACTGAGCTAAATCCCCAGCCCTCAGCTTATATTCTTTGTTGTTGTTGTTGTTGTTGTTGTTATTGTTTTGAGACAGGGTTTCACTGTGTAGTCCAGGCCAGCCTTGAATTCACTATGTAGTCCAGGCCAGCCTTGAACTCATAATGATCCTCCTGCTTCAGTTTCCTAAGTGCATCACCATGCCCAGCCCCAGTTTAACTTCTGGTGGAGGTTTCAGTGCCTGTCAAGTAATGGCCACACTGCTCAGCCTGGCACGTGCGCATTTATACCCTCATCTGTTTCCACTCTCTCCCTGCTCTCATGCCCTAACTGTGTGACAACATTTGCCATTGGTCAGATGAGTTTCGTTCTTTCATACTTTTGTGCCTTTCCCCTAGTTCACCTGAAAAAGTCCTGTCCTTCCATGAAGAGTCTTTCCAAGCATTATCTCCAGGACTCCTTCTCTAATCCTCTAAAGTGCTTGGGACCCTTACTCGTTGGTCCCATAACACTGGGTTAGTGCCCCTAGCACATACCGTGTGGTGGTACTGTAGCTGTTTCCAGTAGGCCCTCACTTGATACTAATCTAGTGAGTGAATGGTTTTGGTGTTGATGCTTGTTTCTTCCCAGCAGATCCCCTAGACCCTTCATTCCCAGTGGAGTTTGTGAGACATGGAGACATCATTCGACTAGAACACAAAGAGTAAGTGAATGTGCTCTTTGCATAATGAGTGATATGGGTACCAGGGATGGGGAGTTCTTCACTTGATCATAGCCAAAAGGCCGAGAAGCGATAGGGATGGGGAGTTCATGTAAGAAATAAAATATATAGACGTCTTGGCTGAGGCTCTGGTGATAGAGCAGTGCTGGAATGAGAGAGCCATGTTATGAAGGTGCTGAATTAATCTGGCCACCTTTTGCCTGCCTGTCGTGGCCTAGGGAGCTTTGACCTTTGAGAGTTCCTTTCAGTTTCTCTTTTCCTAGAGGAAAAAGATAAAATTTAGGTACCCAAAAGTGTCACTTAAGTGGGCATTTTGAGAAAATGTAAGCATCTGTTTCTACGAATACTACAAACTGGTTTATCTCACTAGTGTTCTCACCAAAATGACTGAAAATGCCAGAATAACATAAAAATTTCTTAAAAGCACAAAAAAGCAGACAAGATAATAGTTATTATTAGGCTAGTAATCCAAGTGAAAGGGGAAACCAAGAGAAATAATTGAGCCACTGAGCCACTTTTGGCCTAATTCCACAATCTCTGAGTATTGGGCTTTCTTTTTTTTTGAACTTTGGATTCAGCTGCCTCTTGAGGGAAGTGAAGTCAAAGCTCTAGGCTCACCCAAAGTGGTCAATGTATTAAGTAATCCTTCCCCCAAATTTGGGTAAGGGTAATCTGCCCACTTATCCCCAGGAAAAGTCACTTTGGTGTAATGAGTGGAGTGCTGGGGCTGGGTAGGAAACTAGTTCCTAAGAAGGTGTAACTAACAGTTGATTCTTACATGGATTTGCAGCTCTCATTCATGTCACCTGGGAATCTTCAAGCTGAGTTTTAATGAACATGATCTTAGACTGGTAAAATCACCTAGGCACCTGGCTAAAAGCAAGGATGAATTCTTTGGGAAAGACATTGCAGTCTAATCCCAAAAAGAGTTTTTCAGCAACAATGAATAGTGTCAAAAAAATACATCACTTGAGGAAGTAGGGCCCATACATAAAGATAATCAGAAACAATAGCAGGAGCAGCTCTGCAAAAAGTTCATACACTAGAATTGTTAGATATGGATTTTTTTTTAAATCAGGGAAATCAAGGGTATATATAAGTGGTTTTTCTCTAATCATTTGGATTTTGGGTACTTTAAATCTTTATTATTAAACATTTCTTTTTTATTGTTAATAAATTAAAATTTGTTGTAACTGAGGGCTCGGGATTTAGCTCAGTGGTTCCACTGCCTGCCTTGCAAGCACAGGGAACTGAGTTCGATCTCTGGTACCAAAAAAAAAAATTTATTGTAATTGAATTTTACTTTTGCCAATTAAAAAATTTATAATGAACATTTATATACTACTTATAAATAAAAGAGTTGTAATAAGATATTAAATAAATGGCCAGGCATCATGGCACATGCCTGTAACCCCAGCACTTGGGAGGCTGAGGCAGGAGGATTGCTGTGAGTTTGAGTCCAGACTGGTCTACATA